GCTACAAAATTTGTTGTATATTCTGAATTGATAAAATGACCAAAATAAAATAAATAGTAAGGAGGATAAATAGGATAAAATAAATGAGAAATAATAAACAAAAGAAAATAAAGATATAAAATAAAATAAAAGATATAAAAGAAATAAAAAAAGAAAGATAAGAATAAGAATATAAAAATAAGAATAAAAAGAAATAAAGAATAAAAAAAGAATTATAAAATAAATATAAAGAATGATATATCAATCAATAAGATAGAAAAGAATAATATCAAAAAGAATAAATAAGAAAAGAATAATAATAATATAAATGATAATCAATTATAATTTACTTCTACTTCAATTTATATTGTATTTCTTTTATTATATTTTTATTTCATTCATCATCATTTAAAACAATTTCTTGGTATTCTTTCATTTTTCTTTAATTCTTCTTCACATCCACATTCATAAAAACATCCATCTCCAAATGATGTAATTGATGATGGTATATTAATTGATGTTAATGATAAACAATAACTAAAACACCAATCTCCTATTTTACTAACAGATGAAGGTATATTAATTGATGTTAATGATGAACATCTATTAAAACAATCATCTCCTATTTCATTAATTGTTGTTGGTATATTAATTGATGTTAATGATTTACATTCATAAAAACAACCACCTTCTATTTTACTAATTGGTGTTGGTATATTAATAGATGTTAATGTTGTACAACCATAAAAACAACAGTTTCCTATTTTATTAATTGATATTGGTATATTAATAGATTTTAATGATGAACATTCATAAAAACATTCATTTCCTAATTTACTAACATGTGTTGGTATATTAATAAATATTATTGACGAACATCCTCTAAAACATCTATTTCCTATTTTACTAATTGTTGTTGGTATAGTAATAGATGTTAATGATAAACATTCATTAAAACATTCATTTCCTATTTCATTAATTGAAGATGGTATATTAATTGTTTTTAATGCTGAACATCTTGAAAAACAGCGATGTTCTAATTTAGTAATTGAAGAAGGAATAATAAATTCATTAATATCTTTCTTTTCTATATTCTTTCCATTAATTATTTGTAAATTTTCTGGTATTTCAATACTAACTAACACTGGTTCATTCATAAATATTCTTTCTTTACTTACAAATTGTAGATTATCTATATTCATTGATGTTAATGATGAATATTCATAAAAACACCAATCTTTATCTATTTTACTAACAGATGAAGGTATATTAATTGATTTTAATGATATACATCCATTAAAACATTCATTTCCTATTTCATTAATTGTTGTTGGTATATTAATTGATGTTAATGATAAACATTCATTAAAACAATAATATCCTATTTTACTAATTGTTGTTGGTATATTAATAGATTTTAATGACGAACATTCATTAAAACAACCATTTCCTATTTTACTAATTGACGATGGAATATTAATTGTTGTTAATTCATCACAATTATAAAAACAATAATCTCCAACTGATTTAACTTCTGGTGGTATTGTATTCCCATATGATTTTCTATCTTCTTCTGTATATTCTATATTTTTACAGATATTTCCTTGTTCTTTTTCTTGTAAGTATTTTGAATAATTTACTAAATACCATATTACTTGTTTAATTATTCTTCCATCATTAAATATTTTATCATTTTTATTATAAATATGAAATGTTTCAATATTAGTAAATAATTTTCTTGAATATTTATTTAATGGAATTGGATTAAAATGAAATCGTTCCATGTTTCCTTGAAATCTTTTAATTCCTATTTCTAAATTAATAAAATCATTAATGTCATTAAAATACATTGATACTATCATTATTTCATTATATCCTAATTTCATTATTGATTTATTATTTATTAGTTGTTTTATTAGTTCTTTTATTTTTATATTTTAATTTCTTCTTTTTTATTATTTTATCATTTTTCTATTTTTATTAATTGATATTTGTTATGAAAAACAATAAATAATAAGAAATAAAATAAAATGATAATTATTTTTATTTTTAATAAATTATAATTATTAAATATTTCATTTTATTTTATATTTTATTTATCATTAGATGTCCTTTTATCAATTCAGAATATACATTATATTTTGTTGTAATGTTTATTGAGTAATACCATAGAGTATTGTAAAGAAAATCAATCAACAAACAGATATTCAAGTTCAAAGAAAAGAATGAAATAACAATAGAATGCATAATAATTATGATAAAAGAAATAACAAGAAAAAAGTGAATAGAAAAAGAAGAATACAAATAAAAACAAATAAGAAACAATGTAAATATAATGATAATAAACATTATACAAACAATAAATCTAAATGGTTGACGACAAAAGAAATTCAAAAGAAAATTAAAAGAATAACAAGAA